GGATTAATCATAGGCAAGTCCCACATAGTAACAATGAAAACACAGTGGCTATCCTCCAAAAAGGACACTCTATTGGTCAATTGGTTCATTAATTTGGAAAACTCCATTATGGTGTCATTATGTATCGGAGAACTACTCTGTAGAACAGGCCTTGATCTATTTCGTCTCTCAGATGGAGGTATTCGGCGTCTCCGTTTTATTGGAATTACACCCGGAGGATTATTCCTGCCTCTTAAAGGACTCGTACGAACAAACTCCACACTACCTTGTTTTCGATGACCATCCACTGCAGCACCTGATCTTGTCCTGGAGCAGATTTCCGGAGTTTCAATTCTTGATCGGGACGTACCAGGCATACGATCATTATTTATGTCAACTACCGGTAATATTCCTAATTGTTGAACATCCAATGGGAATTCTACGCTATCACTATCCGCACTCAAAAGGATTTCACGACTTTGACCCGCACCGGACATCTTGCAGAAAAGAACTGACCTGTCCTCCCATATTTTCTCATCATCAAGTGTCATACCAAGGAATTTTACCCAAGAAGAAGGGATGAATGTCCAAGTGTATATACGAACCAATTTTTACATTTTTTCTGAACGTTTATATACAAAGAAAATCTAAACATATGCTCTCCGACGCGACATAGCGGTCACGTATTATAAACTCCATATAAAATACTTCTTATCTCATATTTTTATACCAACCTTATAAATTATACTTACCAAGAACCTTCCTTAAAGAAATCTCTGTATTCCTTTTTGTAACCACAGTAAACACCTTCCTATTATAAATTCACACTGTGCAACACCATACACATATTTTTATTAAAAATTCGCCAAAAAAATACCAAAAAATGAAAAATTTATTGTAAAATGCGAAGTCTAGATTAAGATATTATCGAGGACGATAACATTCGTAAGCGGGGAACGCTGTCACGTTTGCAGTAACTTTTTCTTTTCTTGTTTCAAATTTTAATATAACATATTTGTCACATGCATCGTATACAAACAAACATGCACTTGTTGACGACAGAAGTGTTAAGCATTCGACACCCTAAGCGATTTGAACGTATCATAACGACAGAGAATAAGAGAAACGCAAAAGAATGCTTAATAACTCCTGTTGACCTCAAGGTATTAGTCATCTTATGTGTATATTCCATTAATTCCACTATATGAGATTTTAATATTAAATTAAATCAAAATTGAAATCGTTTAAACAATTAGATATTCTTATGACAAGTTTTTCAACCAATTATATTAATATTACTATATAATTTCATGTGTGAACATTATTATAGACAAATTCTCCTATAAAGAAAAATTATATTTAACAACATTATGGTGATGTTTATGCATGAATCAATTGTTATAATCATACACAAGTAAACGTACGAATTGTTAATAACAAAATTCAACTTATGTAATATCTTAATAATTCTTCGAATTTGTATTATATAAGAACGACTCTAAAAAGGGATATCCAACGCATAGTGACCCCACTCGAGGCAAAGTTCAGTAACCTAGGGCCTGTTCGGTTAAATTTGATTGGTTAACTAAAATAGCTCGGCTCCAGATTGGTCTAGAAGACGACCTACATTTTTCTAAACATCCGTATTGGCTACTCACTGCTTTGCGCCCTTTTTCCGCGAGTGGGAACTATTGCATAAAAGCTGGAAAGCTCTCTTCCGAATTGTCATTTTCTTCCGTTCTCTTACCGAAGTAACCATCAGGCAGATGCCCTTTTTATATTTTTGTAATCGTACCAAAGACATACTCTGTTTAAATTATTCGTGCTGTCGAATTCTGTATTTAACAGAAGTTCTTACAAGTCGAGATACTGAAAATAATTAGAGTCTTGATGTAAAGCTTTTGAGTGCGAATACGGTTTTCGATTGTTATGGGTCGTTCTAATCCCGTTTAAACTCATTTTAAAGTTCTTGCCTTTTAAATAAAACATTTAAAAGTAGTATTAAGTATTTGTGTAATATCAATAAACCGATACAACAACTGTAAGTATTTGGTAAGATTTAATATTGTATACCTATCTACCTTTATAATTTGAGTTTCTTTGTAATAAAAGATTTCTTAAATTCTAAATCTATATTTCTTTCTACCATTAAATTGAGAATAACGTCATAACAGCTCCCGTAGAGCTGAAGCAATAACAAACTCACAATCAAATAATTTTCGCAAGACTTACCATCTTGCGAGAAAATTGCTAGCAACTTCCGAAAAGTACCCAGGAAACAAAAACCTATTCGCTTGTTTTCAATCGGTCAAAAGCTCTCGTGAATCTGCATTCTTAAAAGGCGAAGGCAGATTAATTCTGATTATTTGCACTACTTATTGAATAGGACGTCAATAATTTGAATCGGGATAACAAATTTTTTATTATCCGATTCACAATGTAACATAAATCGGAGGTGGCGTCGAATGAGAATAGTATGAAAAAATATGTTTACAGATAAATAAATATTATATTATTTTTAAAAAGAAATTAACGAATGAGAATCATTTTCAAAATAAACGTTTTATTAAATATTTACAAGAAGAAAAATGAAAAGTACTATGAACTCGAAAAATTTTTCGCACTAATATACAAACACTTCAAGTGCTAAAAATGTTCATCAAACATCGTAGGTTTCAATTTCAATAATAAAAATTGAATAATAATAATAATTAAATATTTTAATAAATTGACTTAATCTTCACGAACCTAAGCACTCGATAACATAATTGTCCACTATTGCACATTATTTATTATATTATTAACCGTATTTCAAAAAACGCCACAAACCCAAGCCACATGGAACGCATTGATATAATTTACAGAGAGACGCATCACGTTAGGTTAGGTATGAATTTCAAAAGTTCTTCTCTCACTTCCAATTCGCGTTTTTTCATTTTAAAATAAATTAAAAGGCACTACGTTATTAAAAGAACATAACCTTTATAGTACCTATTCAATAATATTTGACACGATTCAGTCTGTATCGCAACTTTCTTATTAAACTTTATATTTTCATAGTGCCTTTTCAAAAATAATTTTACTCATTTGCTTTATTATGCTGTTAACTGGAAAATGCTTATTGGAAATATTTGAGGTTAGCTTCTCCTACGTAGACTATTCAGGTGTATAAAAGTGACGAATTAGTCAATGGGAAAACACAGATTCAAAAATGTCTGAAAAATATTCCGATTCAAATTTCCCGAAACCGATTCAAAGCAAGTCGCTTAAATCCGCATTCTTAAAATGTCTGATAATAATAGGTTATAATAATAGGTTTTTTTTCCTGGGTACATCGCTCGTTCAAACCACGGTTATTTTTACTATTAATTTTAGTATAAACGTAACAACACAAGTATATAATTTAATAAATGTTATTATGTTTTATTTGAATAAAGGTAATGAATATAAAATAAATTTATGAATTAAATCTTGAGTTTCACTTTTTAAAAATATGTTTTTGTTTTAAACATACAATTGAATAATAATTGTATCGTAGAGAAAATCTACTACCCTTTTCAATTTTCTTTATCAATTTGCCGAAGAGCAAATACGTTACTTAGGATAGATTTAAATTAATATAAATAAATTCTCTATTTTATTATTTTATAAATTCTATTCTTATCAGTTTCTCTTACAGTTGATTTTTTCTGAGTCCCAACATTTAAAATACGAGCAGAGTAAGTGCTTCGCGTTGGGGTCAGGCATCGAAAAAACATGGAAAAAACAAAGTAATATTCTATTTTTAAAACATTTATTTGTTACAATATTAAGTAAAATATTCCTGAAATTCTGAACGTTCAAATGAACAAAATTTAATAATTTCTTCTTTTAATTAAAATTTTATTATAACATTGTGATGTGACTCAATAAATACCTATGTACCTATGCGTTTGTTACGTATGACTTCGTAACTATTTTTAAGTTTTTTAATAAATTAAAAATTCTTATATTATATAACTTCATTAAAAAAATTGGGAATTTTGTAATTAGATTTGAGTACACTATAACATACAAATCATTCACACAAAGACAATTTAAACTATCTATCATTGAAAAGTAACAAATTTACTATTTGTTATCCTTAATTTCACCTAAATAGTAATTTGGATATATTTTCTTTTGTACCAACAATATTAAATGACATTTTATTTTATTAAAATTAAGAATCGCTAAGAAGTATGGACAACACCCATATTTTGAAAGGGTTATTTTCCAGTGGAAGACTCTAAATGTATTGTTTTAAATATCAAGAAAAGAAACATACACATTAAAAGTATAGTGGATTTAGAGCATTGAACTCGTGTTAGCCAACTTTAGGAATTTGCAAGCTTGCGAAAAGCTTGCCAGGCAACAAAGAAGTTTAATGAACTGTGTGCAACAGTCTCCCTACTATTAACATTTTAATGAAATTTCAGGGTGTGCTCCACAACTTTGATCGATTTAACGATTGAGTCTGAATTTGTTCCTCCCGCAGTAAGGCTGCGTAATATATTGTTTCTACCGAAAATTGGTAGAGTTTATATTTTGTATTGATATTTAAAATATCAACCTCCGTCTAACGCGCTTAAAATCGATTGATTAAATAATATCATCAACCAAATATTTAAATGCAGTGACCCTGTAGTTTGAATATTGTAAGTTGATTTGAAATTATTAATTTATTATTGTTGGAACAAATCAAATATTATTTCCTTTTCTATTCTAAAATAAATACCGTCTATTCGGAATCACTGAATTAATAGTGATATTTGGAAAGTATCCACTATCCTTTAAAATAAATGAACTTGTTTTTTTTAAAAAGAGCATACATATAACGTTTACCTGAGATTGGACTTATTTTGAGTTTTAAATTATTTTCTTTTATTTAAAATTTATTTTTAATACAGTCAAATTTGAATTTGTTTTTAATAAAGATTTATAATTAATAAATAAAGCAAATTCATCCCTAACAGTGTTTAAATATTTTTTTGTAATTGTAGAATGTGATGCAGAGATATGGTATTGCGCCAGAAAAAATTGAGGAAGTTTTTATGGGACAGGTTTGTCAAGCTTCTGTTGGACAAGCTCCAGCAAGACAAGCTGCACTGTTTTCAGGTGAACTATAATAAGAATATCTACAATATACATTTGACAGCTCTAGTAATAATATCTAATGATTTGTATAATTTTTAAATGTGTTTAGTACTACACTCGTGATTCTATCACTGCTTGTAGATTTCTGCTAGTTTCCTGGTTATATTTTAAATAGTTTTATTCTTTGTTTCTTTGGCATCCATGTAGTTTTTAAAAGTGTTTGGTAGTAAGGTGGAAGTAGAATGAAATATGATGATTGTCTGACAAATAAGCATTGTATTAAAATGCTGTCCAAATTAAAACATAGTAACCGCATTTTCCGTAAGGTCGAAGTTTGTTTAGACTATAAAAAAAATACGACCATTCGGAAAATGCTGTTACTAGGTTTTTACTTTGAACAGCAGAATACCATGCTCATCAATAGCGACGTTTGCGTCCAGCGCATGGTTCACATTTTATATTATCAAACATGTTCACTAGCGGTTGTTAAGCCCTAAGCACAACTGAGTCAGGTGCGGGAGACGACTTCGGGATATGGGCTTCCTAACCTCAAAATGTATGTAAATCTTACATATCCCGTAACCGTCTTCCGAACCCAACTAAGCCTTTACTATCATCCTCAAAGAATCCTATCAGGGTTATGTAGGTCAATTTTTATTTGTAATTTATCCTAGCGATTAGGAATTGATATGATTCATTCATAATAACAAACTCTAGTAAAACGTACTTTTGAGTCTTAAAGAAACCTAGTAGTCTGTAGAAGAGCCGCTGTACAGTAAGCAGTATAACGCTTACCTAAAAAAATTTTCCGTGTAAGATTGAAAATTGAACATATATTGACTTCATGAATACAATATAAGTGAATGTATTTCTAATTATCAATTTTCAAACACACACCAGCTGTATGGTATAAAAGAGAAATTTCAAGTATTCTTTTAAATAAATGCATATATTTATAGGTCTTTCTAAGTCAACAATTTGCACTACTATAAATAAAGTTTGTGCAAGTGGAATGAAAAGTGTAATGCTTGGCGCACAGACTTTACAATGTGGTCACAGAAATTTGATAATCGCTGGTGGCATGGAATCTATGTCTAATGTGCCATTTTACATGAGAAGAGGTAAAACCACGTATGGTGGAATGATGTTAGAAGTAAGTTAAAAATATATTATAACATTCTGTATTTAATCTCAGTATAAATTTTGATATACATATAATAAAATTTGCGCTTTTAATGTGAAAAGTGACAAAATAAATACATGTTACGGTCATTGCCCAAAATCACTGGGCATTGTCGACAATGCCCACACATTTTCAATAATGTTCAACAAATCGTGTTAATGCCCGGGCATTGTCGACATTGCCCATTCATTTTTGGGCAATGTTGTTTAAATTAAAATAAATGAGTTTTTCCTCAATATGGACTAAAAAACTTTATTTAGTATCTCGGTAAACTATTTATTTTTACAACTGAGACTGCTGTGGCATTTGAAATTGCACTTGTTATTATTTTTTAAACATTTGCATTTGTTTTGAGCACAACCTGTTTTGCAGTTACATTGCCCGATTCCGGACATTGACCGTAACATACACATTTTAGTGCTGTAGACTTTTTCTGGTCGTTTGGAAATCTGTCATATATATCTGCAATTGTTCCTCAATTATCTAAATAATTTTGTAAACAATCTTGCATTGTATTCCACTGAATTTTAAGTGGAACTGCTAAATTTTTACTGTCATAAGATTTCGTTGCTGGAAATGTTGCACCAGTAAAATGAATATTTTGAAAGTATTTTACAACTCTTACCACGTGGTTGCTAACATTAGGAATTTTAAAATCTTCAGGAAGCAAATCTAACTCATGAGCTGAATAATAATAAGCATTTAAATTTTCGAATATTTCAATGTTTGGGCTTTCATTTTCATTTGTAGTTGACAATTTTTATTTATCACATTTTGTCCATCTGATGAATTTAAAAAATCGATTATAATTTTCTTCATTGAATTCATATTTGCAGCATCATCTGTAACGACACTACCAACAACATATAAAATTTAGCTTGCACTTTTCGTATTGTATTTAACATTAATTTTGCTAAATAATCGCCAGTGTGAGAATTTCCTGAGGTATCTATTGTGTCCTGTGATGGGGAAATTCAATTAAAACCTTTAAAACTTCTAAGGCTCTAATCTGCACCGTATTTCTCCCAAAATTACTTTAAACTCTCAAATTACCAATTGTTACTGAAATCTATCAAAGAGGGGATTCCGCTGGGAAAAACTGTTGCGGTGCAACAACCTTCAATTTTCAATCAACTATTCAATTTTTGTACTCACTACTTGGTGATGATTTCTCTCGTTCGGCAATCAACTTGGCAATCCAATTTTGAATATCCAAAAAGGAATCACCGAACAATTATTTATTTTAAACTTATTTATTTAAATAAAAGAATACTAAAATTACAACTAGTAATACTAAAAATGAAACTTAATCTAATAAATTCAGAACTAAACACTAAATTAAAGAACTATTTCAATTCGACTCTATCTCTAACTCTGTAGCCACACGACCGCTCAAAATCACGTCTATTCTCTGAAACCGCTGAGAACTCTCTGTCGAACCCACGCTGCACTGCTTCCTCGAAACGCCGGTAAAATTCATGGAAAACCCTTTTTCTTTCTCAGAACTCCTAATTTTCCATCAAGCTATCTCTCTCGTCCCCACTCGACGGCACCTGTTAGCCCGCCGAAAAGTGGGACCGCTGACCATGTGACCAACTCCTAATTGCTCATGCGTCAAATCATTTCTCAAACGACTTGACGGACTACGCACGACGGTGATCAACGAACTCTGAAATAACGACGCTGACAGAGAAACGATGCAACGAGAATGAGACGACGATAAAACAAAATATAACGTCTCACTAACTAGGAACAGCAAAAAGAAATACAGTAACGATTTACTTCGTTACAAACTCCCCTCCTAGGCCGATATTACCTCGGTAATATTGCCGATTTAACAATATAAAAATAATATAAGATTTCCTTTGCAACTCTTCTAATTTATTGCAACTAATCTCTTACAATTATATATATAAAAAAAAAAAGAATAAATTCAAAAAAAAAGAAAAACATCAAGGAACCACGTTCCAAAAATTTAAAAGAAAAACAAAAAAAATATGGGGGAGGCGACAATGCCTCTATTTTAAAAGGAAATCAATCCTTCTTGTTTTGAAACTCCTTCCAGAATTGCAGTTTCATCTCCTTTGCAATTTCAAGTGGCAAATCCACAATCATTCTCTCTAGTCTTTCCAACTCGTCCAAGAAGCTCCGCTTCTTTTCTTGACTTGGACCCACACTACTATCTACTCCACTCACGGACGCTGATCGATTAGGAGATTTACTCCCACCCTCCTTCGCTGGTGACGGCGATCGGCTTAACAACTCCGGCCGAGTTGTCTCCCGGGGTAAAGTGCGGTGTAATAGTTTGTAGTATTTCTCCCGCTGCTGGCGAAATTCCTCGTACTGTTTTTTACCGAAACGTTCCTCCATGATCAACCGATTGACCCTAGCACAGCGCGGGCAATCAGTAAGAATCACCTCCCTCCTTCCACAATTTTTGCAAAATTTCGCCAGTTTGCTGGGACATTTCGGCACCTCATGTCCCTTCCGCCAACAATTATGGCAGACACCTGGTGGGGGATCCAGGCGTGGAACCGTCGGAATCGGATCCAAACCCGCAAACATACGCCCCTCCAAAATAATCGGCAAAGGGGGCCGAGGAGACGGGCGCGGAAGATGACTTCGCCGGTTGATCACTGGCTTCTCCTCATAAATCCCCTCCAGGGGAGATGCGTAAGTTGGTGGTGGAGGATGACGGGGCAACAGCTCCGCTCCTTTCGGGGGAGATGTCTTCGTTGGCGCGTTGGTAGAAACGTAGTCCCACTCGTATAATGGGCTACCCTTTCTCCTACCCACTTCGCGCTTGACCCACTGTTTCTGGTCGTTTCCCTTTCCTTCCTCCAACACGGCCAACAATTCGCTCTTCGCCTGGCGACACGCGGTCTTCGGACTTACTTCTCCTTCAATATCCTCCGTCTCCATACTCTCCTTCTCTCGTGCCACCCTTTCTCTCTCACGATTCTCTCGCTCTCGAGCCTCCCTCTCTCTCTCACGACTCTCTCGCTCTCGAGCCTCCCTCTCTCTCTCACGACTCTCTCGCTCTCGAGCCTCTCTCTCTCTCTCACGATTCTCTTGACGGTGATCAGACCCTACGGTCTCTCGACTCTTCCTTTCCTTCTCTCCCCTTCTCTCCCGCCACTGCTCAATCGTAATCGTCTTGGGAATGGTACCGGTATATACTGGACCAGGCGCTGAGGCTTGACCACCAGAAGTACCGGCCACTGCAACTGCTTGCGTCTCCGCTTCTCGTTCCCTCTCCACTTTCTCCACGAGAATGTCCAACTGACTTCGCTTCGGCGGATCAGCCTGCTCAGGAAAATCGGAAAGTAGACCTTGGTAACGTGAATGCGGAGCTCCACCACGTCTCCTTCCAGCACCGGAACGTCTCATCTTATCAACAGTTGATTTTTTAATCACTACGCTCCTAATCCTGGGCTTGCTTCTACTCTCTGACGGTGATCGTGGGCGATGACTCGGCATCAAACGACTCTATCAAACAAGTTCAATCTAGATGCTGACAACAAAAAAAACAAAACAAATTCTAAAGTGTTATTAATTTCGTAACATCACACACGACACAGACAGACACGACAATTACGAACGAGGAGGAATATAACGCTTAATATTGGACACATGCGCCTTCGGAACTCGCCGGTTATTATCCGCTTTTAACTCATAAACAGTGTCGGATAATTTTTTTATAATTTCGTAAGGTCCATCATATTTCGGTGCCAATTTTGCGGAAAATTTGTGCAGCGCATTAGACAACTTATTCACTCTCCATAACACTAGATCGCCTACATCAAATTTCGCAAAACGCTTATTTTTATTATATTGTACTCTCTGTTTCTCTCTCTCTTTATCGATAAACCTGGCTACCAAATCCCGCAATGCATCCAACCTTTTTAATCGATCCATCCACACTTCCGGTTCGATTCTCTCAACTACAACTCGCTTCTCTAACTCGCGTCTCAAACTCTTAACCAATTGTGGTTGTCGACCAAAATTCAAGAACGCCGGTGATACTTTGGTAGTCGCTTGGACGGCCGTATTGACTGCATGCCTGAACTCATGGACATGTTTGTCCCAGTCACGGTGATCGTTTCCCACAAAAGTTGCAATCATTGTTTTCAAAATCCTATTGCTCCTCTCGACTGGATTCGCTTGCGGGTGGTAAGGTGGCGTAGTCAAGTGCCTCACACCATATTCTTCTAACGTTGACTTGAGGAATTTATTATCAAATTCCTTCCCGTTGTCTGTCAAAAGAAAACGTGGTGTTTCCCACCTAAATAAAACCAACTCCTCAAACGCTCTGGCAATTGATTTGCCATCCGCTGATCTTAATGGCTTTAATTCTATCCATCGCGAGAAAAGATCTTGAAACACGACCAAATGTTTACACTGACTTTTGCTTGGCGGAAATTCCATGCAATCAGCTGCCACGACCACCCAAGGACTCTCGACAATTCGCTGGCCCATCATACCGCACGGTCCGCTCTGTGACACTTTAAATCTCTGGCACTCTGGACACGCTTTGACATACGATTGTACGTCGTGCCACACTCCTTGCCAGTAATATTCACTCGCTACGCGCCTATACGTTTTTTCTACTCCTAAGTGGCCTGCTGAAAGCTCGGCGTGGGCAATCTTAATAATTTGCTCACGATACTCTTCCGGCACCACAAGCTTCCAACTCTCACTCTGGTCGGTGATCGGATCTAACAAAGGGTCCTCCCTTTGCCTATACAATCGCCCTTCTTCCACTTTCCACCCTACGAAACGCTCCGGAAAATTTTCAACTAGTTCTCTTCGCTTTAAATACCATTGATCGTTGATCTCATCGAATGCAGCACACTCTTCACTCTCCTCATACATTCTCGAAAGAGCATCTGGCACAAGATGGTGGATGCCACGGCGGTGAACTATATCAAAGTCCCACTGCTGTAACTCCAGTGCCCATCTCGCCAGTC